GAGCACAGGGGATGCTCAGACTCCTGTCCACTAGCCCAGATGTTTGCTAAATTGTGGTGGTGGTGGTTTCTTATAAGCCTTGAAAACGTTAATTGCATTTTCTGATGCTGCTTTTACATGAGCATTGCATTTAGTTGTACAGAGAGAGTGTGAGGAATTCATAAACAAAGGTGAACTTTAAAATGCTGTGATCCCTTTGGAGGGAGGTAGGTGCTGCGGGGGGCCCCACTCGTGCTCTGCAGAATCTGCACATGTTGGTGGTGGTGGCAAGTGCAGTGCCCAGTGACCACAAGCACACTAGCTGGGTGGGAGGGGGCATCCTGCCACCGTCAACAGCTGGCCACTCCCTGAGCATCTTGACGAACTTTCCACTGTGTGCCCGGTCCAGCCCAGGCCTTCTCCACAGCCTCAGCTGCCCGCTCATTGTGTCCATGAACACTTCAAAAGCAGCAGGTCAAAAAAGGGAAAACACCTCCCCATCAAGCTGCGTGCACATCTGAATTCTCACATCTCAATTGCTGGCTGCAGTCCAGGCTCAGGCCTCTAGTCTGGAAACCTGAAACTGGAAACTCCTTCGCCCTGGATCGAGGCTGCCTCAGCCCCTCCAGGACTCCTGGTCTGATGGGGTCTTCCAGAGGCTGTGAGCTCCTCATGGGCAGAGAGCGCATCAGAGTCATGTGTGCCCTCCTGCCCGCACACAGCGGGGCCCCATCAGTGTTTGGGAAACAGAAGAGCAGCTGAGCAGGGCCTCTTTGTAAGCACTGGGTTTAGCTATTTGCTTGTTATCATCAAAGGGGCACCAAGTCAAGACGACCACTGGCCATGGGTAACTGTTTTCTTCTTTACGTCCCTCTGAATTCATTCGAATTCCTTACAGGAAGCAGCTGTCAGTTACTTTTAGAATTTTTTTTGTGTGTGTGGAATGTACATAGCATAAAATTTACCATTTTAACCATTTTTAAATGCACAGTTTGGTGGCATTAAGTGCGTTCACATGGCCGTGTAACCATCAGCACCGTCCATCTCCAGAGCTTTTTCTTCATCCCACGCTGAAACTCTGTCCCCACTAAACACACACAACTCCCCTGTCCTGCCCCTGCCCCAGCCCCGGGCAAGCACCGTCCCACTGTCTGTGACTGTCAGCTTGACCACTCCGGGTACCTCATGTAAGTGGAATCACGCAGCGTTAGTCTTTTTGTGGCTGGTTTATTTCATTCAGTATAAAGTCTTCAAGGTTCATCTACGCCGTAGCGTGGATTAAAATTTCCTTCCTTTTTCATATTGAATAATACACGTATATTCCGTCGAATGTATGTGCTACATTTTGTTTATCCATTGATCTGTCGACGGATTTCAGGGTTGTTTCCAGGTTTTGGCTACTACAAAGAATGCTGCTCTGAACATTGGTGCGCAAGTATCTAAGTGGCTTCTTTTAACTCTTTTGGGAATATACCTAAAAAGTGGAATTGCTGGATCATATAGTAAAATTGCTTTTAGAATTTAGACACATTTTCTAATATTTCTAAAGTGGTCATTTTGATTCAAACAGAAGGTCTCCTGANTTAGACACATTTTCTAATATTTCTAAAGTGGTCATTTTGATTCAAACAGAAGGTCTCCTGATGATGGGGGTGACATGGAAGTGCAGGCTGAAACCTCAGACTTGTTCTTGTGACTCGTGTGACGCTTGGTGACATGAAATGATTGGTTTTCAAGTGTGGTTTTAATTTTTTCTTACAGCATCAAGCTTCTAGCTGTGCAAGAACTACTGGATAAAGAGGCCCTGGAAAAGGTAAGTACGTTGCTTTTCCTGCTCCACATTCAAGAACTGAGAGCACAGGGCCGTGTACAGGAGAATTTCAACGCCCTGACACCCCCCACCAGTCAGCACCTACGCAAAGGTGGCCTCTTCTACTTTGTACTCTTTTTTTTTTTTTTTTTCTTCTGTCTTTTTTCCGTGTCCGGCAACGGATCGCAACCCTCAGTGTTGCCCCCGTACCGGACCTGAATTCATTCGAATTCCTTACAGGAAGCAGCTGTCAGTTACTTTTAGAATTTTTTTTGTGTGTGTGGAATGTACATAGCATAAAATTTACCATTTTAACCATTTTTAAATGCACAGTTTGGTGGCATTAAGTGCGTTCACATGGTCGTATAACCATCAGCACCGTCCATCTCCAGAGCTTTTTCTTCATCCCACGCTGAAACTCTGTCCCCACTAAACACACACAACTCCCCTGTCCTGCCCCTGCCCCAGCCCCGGGCAAGCACCGTCCCACTGTCTGTGACTGTCAGCTTGACCACTCCGGGTACCTCATGTAAGTGGAATCACGCAGCGTTAGTCTTTTTGTGGCTGGTTTATTTCATTCAGTATAAAGTCTTCAAGGTTCATCTACGCCGTAGCGTGGATTAAAATTTCCTTCCTTTTTCATATTGAATAATACACGTATATTCCGTCGAATGTATGTGCTACATTTTGTTTATCCATTGATCTGTCGACGGATTTCAGGGTTGTTTCCAGGTTTTGGCTACTACAAAGAATGCTGCTCTGAACATTGGTGCGCAAGTATCTAAGTGGCTTCTTTTAACTCTTTTGGGAATATACCTAAAAAGTGGAATTGCTGGATCATATAGTAAAATTGCTTTTAGAATTTAGACACATTTTCTAATATTTCTAAAGTGGTCATTTTGATTCAAACAGAAGGTCTCCTGATGATGGGGGTGACATGGAAGTGCAGGCTGAAACCTCAGACTTGTTCTTGTGACTCGTGTGACGCTTGGTGACATGAAATGATTGGTTTTCAAGTGTGGTTTTAATTTTTTCTTACAGCATCAAGCTTCTAGCTGTGCAAGAACTACTGGATAAAGAGGCCCTGGAAAAGGTAAGTACGTTGCTTTTCCTGCTCCACATTCAAGAACTGAGAGCACAGGGCCGTGTACAGGAGAATTTCAACGCCCTGACACCCCCCACCAGTCAGCACCTACGCAAAGGTGGCCTCTTCTACTTTGTACTCTTTTTTTTTTTTTTTTGTCTTCTGTCTTTTTTCCGTGTCCGGCAACGGATCGCAACCCTCAGTGTTGCCCCCGTACCGGACTGGGGACCGGCAATGGGATCGCAAGCCTCGGTGTTGCTCCCGCGCCTCGCTCAGCCAGTGAGCGGGAACCGGTCTGTATGTGGGATCCGAACCCTCGGACGGGAGCGCCGCTGCGCTTCCCAAGCGGCGCACTATCCAGTGCGCCACCGGGCCGGCCCTACTTTGTACTCTTGACAGCCAGTGAACAAAGCGGGATTTTAATCAGAACTCCCCACGCTGCCCGAACCCCACTCACACTTACAGCGCACCCTGCATGGCTCCTTTTGGTTGTGTGAAGAGCAGGGCCTTGCCCCGCAGCAGGTGTGCTCTGGAGAAGGTTCTCCGTGTTTCCAAATGCCGTGAGTGAGACGCCTCCCACGCTCGACTCTGGACGTGCCCCTTTGCTCGTCTTGGCTGGGTCTGTGTTATTATTTGGCATGTGGGTGATGGAACTGAAGCCCAGTGAGGTTGGTACCTCGCCCACGGCGAGTAGATTGAGTGGAAGTGACGTCCCGTCTCCAGAACCAGTGCTTTTCTGTTTCACAGGCAAGTTCGTGAGTTTGCGTCCCTTTTTGGCTACTTCTGAGGGTCGGGAAACTGCCTCCCCAACCCCAAACCCATGTTTCACTGTGCCCTGATAGAGGCCCCACCCTCACTCCAGTGTGTCTCAGCTTTCTATATTCAAGTCCAGCTCGCAATTGGGGATCCTTTGCCAGTGCAGGGTCCAAGTTCTGCATGCAAGGTGGGGTGGGCTTTGCAAAGCAGGCTGGGCAGAGCAGGCCCCCGCGTGCCACCCCACAAGCCACCCTGCTCATACTAAGCTGCCTCCTAGGGTAGCTCAGGACTCTTCCTGCTTATGTAGCTTGGGTGTTAATTAGAATCTGGAATGCTAACATGAAAGAAAGTGATTAGGGAGATAAGCACCCAAGTGGTATTAGTTTATTTTTAGAATTTAAAGTGTTTGGATTAGTAGTCAGTCTGCTTGTTGGCGCTTAAACGAGTAAAGTCTTTAAAATAAGCAGCAAGCAGTGATGTGAAGGAGGAGAGGTCTGGCCTCGTACTGCGCGTCCCCTTGGCCTCCCTTCCGTCTCAGGTAGCACAAGGCTGTGCTCCCCAGCTGTGCTCTCCAGCTGTGCTCCCTGCGACCTCTGAGAGGCAGCTCGAGGCCCAAAGGCGTCAATATAGCTGAAGGGCTTCCTAAACGCCAGAGCACTCTACTCATATTAATTCTTAATTACTTACATTAATTCTTAATATGCATTTAGCCACTAAAACATACTAGGACTGGCTATAAAAAACATCATTAGGTAAATCAGACAACGCTGTCGATCAGTGTTTACTTTTGCTGAAGTTGATAATTGGCTTGTGACCATGTATGAGAATAGCCTTGCTCGTGGGAATTAATACTGACATGTTTAGGAACAAAGGGTCATGGTGTTTATAACTTGTTCTCAAATGATTCAGGAAAAAAAATTGCTGTGGGTATATCAGACAGAGCCAGCGAGAGACAAACGTAACTGATAAAGGGGCAAACGTAAACAGTTGATTCTTGAGTGAAGGCGTACGTGAGAGTTCTTGTCTGTTCTTGAAACGGACAGAGCCAGCGAGAGACAAACGTAACTGATAAAGGGGAAAACGTAAACAGTTGATTCTTGAGTGAAGGCGTACGTGAGAGTTCTTGTCTGTTCTTGAAACTTTTTCATAGTTACCTCCTTAAAATTTCCCTCTTAGAATTCACGGCAGTTATTTGTCTTATTCAGTTTAAAAAAACCATCAAACCAAGTTGGCACGTGTGGGGTCCCTACGCTAGAGCGTATCAGGATAATAAAAATATGGCAGAGAATGCCAGGGAGTCTTTCAAGCTGTGCTCGTGCCGAGCCGTGGCTGCTGACGGCTTAGAAACCTGCCGGGGCAGAGCGGCCTCCTCCCTGGCCGGTTTCTCTCGGGTCTCTCGGGGCGCACCGTGGGTGCTGCAGTCACCCTCCTGCTTTAGCTCCTCCCCGATCCCCTCCTCCCCCTGCTCCTCCTGCTCTTCCTCCTCTCCCCGTCTCTCCCCAAGTCTGATGATGGTTTTGTGTTGTTCCTCATCTCCATCTGTCACCAGTGGGAAGCTTTACGTGGTGATCTAGACATGCACAGGGGCCAGCCAGCACCCAGGTTCACTCAGTTTCCTTCTTTCTGTTCATTTGTTCGTTCATTCATTCATTCATGCATTCATTCATTCATTCATGCATTCATGCTCTGGGCATTTGTTGAGCTTTCTGTGTACCAGGAAAGCAGCAAATGTTTCTAGAAAAGTTCAGAAGCAGTTGTCAAGAACTCAGTAGCCAGTTGACACATGACATATCACCAGGCATAGTGCTATTTTTGCAGCAAGATTATTCCAGTTGATATTCTGGAATAAGATCCTAAAGACCCTTATGACTGACAGATTCCCTTGTACCTGGAAAAGTTGGAGAGCCACCAAGAAAAGTTCCTTATCAGCTGTAGAACTTTGCTGCTCGAAGCACGGTCCATAGACCAGCAGCGGCGGAAACTTGTTAGAAATGCAGAAATCTCGGGCTCCACCCCAGACCCCCTGAATCAGAGCTACATCCTGATAAGACGCCAGGTGACTTGTGTGCGCCGAGGGCCAAGCAGCACTGCTGTGGGGTCTCATTTATTATCAGCATCACATTTATTGACTAGTCCATAATCGTCTTTTTGGCACCCAAAGAGAAGATGTAAACATTATCATTCTATTTTTAAGAACCCAGTTTTTATCTTTAGTTTGCCTGATCCTTCCTTTCATTAAGAAAGCCTTAATTTCATCAGTAGGGCCAGCAAGAAGGGCCTCAGTTAGACATACGCCCTGCAAACCTCCAACCCAGACACACAGTCACCCCAGTGGAGACCTGTGTGTGCCTCCCTCTTGTAAAATGGGAGCTATTCTGAAGAGGTGGTTTCCATCACAGAAATGGAAGATGAAATTTGAACAGTAGAAGATTTGAATTATGTGAAACACAGCACACAAGGCTAAAAAGAAGCAGCAGTGCTTTGGGGTCTCATGAAAAGTAAGACTTCTGCTGCTTCTCGCTGATACGAGTATTAGGTGTTGGTACTATGATGTTGGTATTTTAGCTTAAGATGACAGCATTTGCCTAGACTTTACCTGGTTTCAGGTAGAGAGTCTTTCCATCTTTAGCAGCGCTGAGGTTTTCCTGGTGTCCGCAGAGGCTCCCGCTGTAGAGAGCCAAGCTCTCCTCCCGGGCTCCCCCCTGTTGGGCTGTGGGAACTGGCTCAGGATCTTGCCCGGAGGCCCGGGTCCCTTGCCCCACCTGTGGAACTGCTCTTCGTGGCTCCTTCTCACTCTAAAACTCTTGGGCTTCATTTTTCAGAGTTGATCATATTGTGAAGAGGGGAAATTTCATCTTTGTGTTCTCTATTTTCCAGTATTTTCTCCACTCCCTTACTGCAGGGGTCCTTACTGAGTTTGCAGTTTTCATGTTTTGTGTACCCTGCTCACCATCAAAACATGCTCTCTGTGAAGAGGTGACCAGCCCAGTGACCCTGATACGTAGGTCAATAGAGTTCCAGTTTTTACCTGTCACGACTTGTGTTAATTTAGGTGCAGTAAGTTGGGGAGGAGATGGGAGAAAACTAGGGGATCAGGTCTTTGAATTTCTCTTCTTCACTCACACTACATAGAGCTACTTCCCAGACTAGTGACAGTGATTTG